GTGTTGTGAGCACTTGAAGTGAAGCAGATTTACTTGGATCCTAAAGGTACAAGCAAACGTCAGTCAATAGATGAAAAAGGCAAGCAGCAACAATCCCAACTGGTGCGACGTGGATGCGTCCATCAATCAGGGCCTGCTGGCTGGTTGACTGGGAAGCCACAAGGCACTTGCTGGTGGACCCCGGTGGCAGTTTGATAGCGGCCTTTTTCCTAGCGAACAAACATGTAGTTGACCAAGCAAGGGTTGAACGAGACTTGTTTTGTATGTCGGGACCCTCCATTTCCTCAAAGAACGGCTGGGAGGACAAAGCGGACAAGATCCACGAGTTGTGCATCGAGATCGAGACGAGCCGGCCCTGCAGATTGCTGGGAGCCACTGCCATTGACGACAAGCTGCAGGATGAGGTGCCCGAGACCATCGAGCAGTAGCCTGGAGCAAGCGCTCGACGTTCGCTCGCTCAATCACGCAGGCACTCACAAATTGGAGAGGAGCAGGACTCCATCGAACGTAGATGGACCACTGGGACGCTTTGGAAAGGGGACCAAAATAAAGTCGACCTTGGTGCTCGATTGGTCAAAACTCCCTCTATTCCCCCTGACATCACATCTCGCTTTCAATTGGCCCAGATGTTTAGCACCACAAAAGGGAAGACCCCATTTTTGGTGGCATTCAAGTTACCACAATTGGCGGGAAGCGTAAGCTGAGGCTGAGATTGGCAGGCGTGCGAGTGCCTTGGCACAAGTTTCTTCGGCGGCAGCTCAAAACCTTGGCGGAAGGTATGAATTCGGGGACTGTCCACAAATCAGGTAACGTCTAGTTTGTGGTTTGGATTGGTTTTGGGGATCTGAAGTGGGAAACCACCCCTTAACCACCAAACCGCGAATCCAACCCACATATTAGAGGGAAGCTGACAAATAGGTTCGACCAACCGTCCCTCGAAAGCTTCTCACATGCTTTGGGCAGCCGGTTTTGCACCAGGCCAGTCACAATCGAAACCTGGGTGCAGGATATCTATCCTGTTCATTCTTTACATGGCTGGTAGCCGTTTTAGTATCAGGTTTTGATTGTGATTCAAGTTTTGCTTGCGACTCGTGGCATTTGGGTGTCTTTTTTTGTTCGGGGACCCCCAATGTTTGTTTTCCTCTTGGGGTTCCTTCAAAGCCACAAAAACAACAGGTACCCTCCAAAAAAGTCAGGTACCTTTGGCACCAACAAACAAGAACGGGTACCCTCCCAAAACAACGGGCTCCCATTTTCTCCAGCGAACGGTCCGTGAGGTCTGGGTGCTCACCGGTGACAAGGTGGACACGGCCATCAGTATCGCCATGTCCTGCAAACTTCTCACCGAAGCTATGGACAACTTTGTCATCGACAACAACACCGAGGACCAGCGAATCGCCTGGAGGTATTGATCTTCTTATTTCTACACATTTTTTTTTTGGGGGGGGGAAGATGCCAACCCCTGACTTGGGAAAAGATTGGCATTTACCCTGGACAAACGGGGGTTGTCCAAACATCCCCTGAAGTTGGAGCGGTTGTTGCCGAGTTCCGGCTGCCGGCCCTTTCAGCTTTACTGGCTGGTTGTGTGCGTGAGAGTTTGTGTGCCAGTGGGGATGCAGCCCGGGATGCTTGCCGAGGCTCACTGACATCCTGAATGCTGCGCTGGAAGCCGAGAATCCGGCTTTGACAATTGCAGGAGTGGGAGCATGTGGATTCACTAGCTGTGGAACCGTGTGAATCATTTGATGCGTTGTGTTCCCCTCCTCATCCTCATTACAACGACTCTGTTTCATTGCCAGACTCGGAATCCTGAGGTTTCTGCTTGCAAACGGCAAGCTCATCAACTTAGCTCCTCTTGATGGCTGCGTTTTCCGAACTACCAACATTTCTGCCTGTCCAGTTTCTGTGATTTTCTATTCTAAGTGATCACTGTGGTATCACTCGGACCGGCCACTCTAGTCGGTATCCCTTCGCTCCTTTGTCGGTTTGGTTTTCAAAGCTTACCTCAGGAATCACTTGGATTTTCGACACCCATCGTATCTCGAGGTTGTTCCGCGACAATCGCCCAGCATTGGCCGTTTCAATAGGCTCTACTTCCGGGTTTTGTGGCGGTGAAAGGTGAGGCGTACCGACGATACCATACGATACCCAATACCCGCATTTTTTCAGGGTAATTATGCTAGGGTATGTCATCTGACTAAGAAAGCCAGTTTCTTCAAAATTGCCAACTGGAGAAGTGGGGTCACTTACAGGAGCAACATCTAAACGGGGTCCAACGCCCTGCCACCCCATTGGATGACTACAATACGCCAAATCAGGGATCGGTTTTTGGGGTCTGTAAACTGTGCAGGGTTCCATTCTTTTGGACTTCAACCATGGCTGATGTCCCATTGAAAGAGATTCCTGAGTTTAAGTCGATCTGGGCCATTTTTTGGGATCGGAATCTCCTTTTTGGAAAATGGACCCTTTGGGGTTGCTTCCATCAAATGTAGAGGAGTACCTGGTCAAAACATGGGGCTGTCTCAAAATAGACCCCCCCCCAAAAAAAAATGGCGAAGGGTTGCCCTACTGTCCTTCAGCCAACCTTTGTCTGGGAGGGTACCGCGCCTCAAAAAAAGGACAAGCCACCCATTTGGGGGTTGATCAAAAGGTCCGGCAAACATGGGATGACCATTGGTTGGAAAATCGCAAAGATTTGATCTTTCCAAAAGGGGCAGATTCTTCGTCAAAACTGGGGGCCTTTCACGGAGCATAAGAACCCCCATCTAGTCGTAGCCAGCGTGATTTGTGGCTGATCGTCTCACGAGGTCAGCCCCATCCCAACTTCGGCTCTCGCCAGGTTCGAGGCTGGCCGAAGCCATGGAATGCCCCGAAAGCCGCGCGCAGCTGTTCCGAGTGGGACAGCGCTGCAGGCCTCGGGGGTCAACCGGGTTTTAAAAGAAGAGGGGAATACGTGTACGGGGTGCATCTTTGTTTCAGGGCACTGTTTTTTTCCTTTGGGGGGGCGGAGGGTTTGAAAGGAAGCCCACAAGCAAGCACGATTTAGGGGAGACACACCCATGTATATGTATGTATACATATATACACATCAACTTCAATGGCTTTGATTCATCCACTTGCCTGCGTATCGCCTGAACAGGTCAGTGGTGTGCTGCCGCGTGTCGCCAAAGCAGAAGGCGGATGTCGTAGATTTGGAGTCTTGGTCCGAACTCTGTGCCTAAAACACAGACCCATGTGATTCCCTTTCCCTGTCTACTGTTGACCCCGGATTAATAATCCCGTGGTTGATGAACGGGGGGAGTCCCCTTAGTGCGGGTTGTTCATCACTTTTGGAGGGGAACACCACAAGAATAGGACAGGTGTATCAATGCAGGGTCAACATTGGGTAAGCAAGGGAGCCAGCCTTAAACACGAGGGAAATTGCGAAGTTACCTAGTGGTAACTGGGGTTTAGCTGGACAGACTATGCGCCATTTGCACAAGGATCTGATAAGGCGCATGCAGTCATTTTGGTACAACCGACCATGAACAGGCTTTGCGCGTTGCTCAAATGCTTCTTTTTGCAGGTGTGCTTGTGGCACTTTAATTGGTGAAGTCCGGACTCGGGTCCTTCCCAGGTCAAGACCATGGACAATTCTGCGGTGACTCTTTCAATTGGCGACGGCGTGACCTGGCTTAGGATTATTCGCGTTGGGGATGACAGGCGCCCGGAACCAGAGGCCAGGTGTGCGATCTGAAGCGACTTCAAACTCTGAAAACCGATCAGGAGCGAGCACCAAAATGGATGCCATTGTGGTGCTCATGCCACTTGCAAAGTAGCAAACCCTACTGTATCCTGGATGGGCACACACACACAAACATTGAGAAACACAGTAAACACAGCTACCAACGGATTTGTCCCCTGAGCCACAATCAAAACCCGGGTAGATGAAGGTTGATCATGTTTTAATAGCGGGTTTTGATTGTGACTCGACTTGAGGCCAACGACGTTTCCATGATCGTGGCTGCCCATGTTGGAGTGGGCCTCAGCGGAAAGGAAGGCGCGCAAGCCGCCTACGCAGCGGACTTTGCGCTCCCAGAGTTCCGGCTCTCCGGCAAGGACTCGGTTTCAGCGTCCAATTTGGCAGTGCCCAACCCCCCCCCCCCCCGGTTCCTATTTTAATGGGAACCCCGGATGAATGTATAATAATATAAGCCCTGTTGAAAAATGGGGCCCCTGGCTCGGACATCTTTTCATACAAGGCTTTGATTGTGAAACAGGGGGATGGGGCGTTCAACTAGAGCAATGCCCAACCCTTCCTGTGTGGCTTACAAAAGCCTTCAAGAGCATGTTGGTGGAACTAAGAGTCAATGGGTTCGTGCCCAACACCGATTCCCGTTGGCTGTTCTGTTGCTATCTGTGGTAGTAGCTGTTTGCTTGTCTACCTGGTTTCATAAAGCTTATAGCAAGACCGGATAAAGCAATGAAAATAGCCCTGCGGGCGCTGCTTGCTTCGGGTGCTTGAAAGCCCATATTTTTTTCAGTGCATCTAAATTGGGGCGTTTAAATTCAAAGGGAGCCAAAGTCAAAACTAGAAAGTCGGGGTTCTCATCATGCATTGGGGTTTATAGATATCCTCATTTTTTGCCCGCCACTTTGCTGCCTTTTTCTCCTTTTGACCTTTCTAAGGTTACTCAGGCGAAGCGTCTTCGGCCACGGCCGGGAGGCGTACCGAAGGAATGCAGTGATCTGTATTTACAGCTTCTACAAGAATCAGCCGAGGACGAAAAGTGTTGAAACCTCAAACTTAGAGAGGGGAACGCCCTGAGCGGTATTTTTTCCATACAAAACAACAACTTGCCTTCTTTAGGGGAAAGATGAACAGGGGCGTGCCGGAAGTGCTGAAACAACGAACCTCTTGGTCCCCCTGATCAGGTGAACAGGGCAAAACGTGTTTAAACCCCTTCCTACCACCTTTTTCAGGGGGAAAGGCGAACAGAGTCAAAACGTTTGTAAGTAGCTGACCTAGCAAAAGGAGGCTGTTTGAACAGGTGTTTTAGGTGTTTCTGTTGGTATCGCCCCATCCTTTCAGGTGAACGTGTTGATCACCATTTTGGCCGCAGCTGGGAATGCCTTCTCCGGCGCCAATGTAGTGAACCCCTGGTTGATGCAATGCTTCAACATTGTGCCGTGGTCTTCGCTGTCCAACGAATCTTTCTGCGACCTTTTAGGAGCCCTTTCTCACACCAAAACGAATCGACTGGATCTGACTGGATCTGGTGTCCCCTTTATGGTGCCTCCCAAAGTTGGTAATTAATCCTTTGCTGTCTGGCTCCTTTGGGCAACTGAGCCATCGAAACACGGGTAGATGGAGGTTAGCAAGGGAAACTCCCAGCCATAAATTGTGGCCGCCTTCTTAATTCTTGAAGCATGGTTCTGGGATTACGACAATTTTAATACCGGGTTTTGATTATGGCTCAACTGAGCTTATATGGCTTTTTCATTGAACCGACAGATCTCACGACCCTTTGCCCGAGCTGCCCAGGTGCACTGCCACACGCCGATCATCATCTATGGCATGTACGACAGGTGGAAATGCTTGGACATGTTTGGAAACAAAGATACTGTGGATGGATGGTCCCTTTCAAAACGGGTTCGGAGCCATATTTCGCCTTGAACGCCCTCAACGGGAACGGCTTTAGCGGTTCTTTGTTCCGGACTGTGGATGGACGCGAAATCCAGAAATCTCGCCACGAAATGAAGCCATGGTTGAAACCATTGTTTGTTGGTATTTACAGGGGAATCGAATCATTCCAGGGTTTCTCAGGTGGTGCGAAATGGATTTCGTCCATCCACAGTAGGATCAACCAAAGACGATTTCCTGTATCTCTTTTTTCCCGCAGTTTGAACATAGACAAATGGCAGTGGGGCAAAACCAATGGGATACTATTTTGGGGTTGCACCACCCATTTTAGTCTATCGTGGGGATTGGGATGTTCACTGGGGGCTAACCGGGCATACCCATGGCCAAATCGGACCAAGTGACCAGCCACGGGCTCCAGGTCCTCGGATCTGAGCGACTTGGAGCGGGATCCGAACGGTCATTCCCCCCACTTGTTCGGCTTTGCCGCTTGGCCGAGCGTGTGGCAGTTCTCTTTGCGGGTACGCCGTTTTCTGTGGGGGGTACGCCTTGACGGAAAACAAAAGGGCAACCAACATTTCAGGGGGTCCCCTTCGAAAAGATGCACCCACACAGGCACACATGGCTTTCTTCCGAAAACAGGGAGCCAACACGGGGGGGGAGGGGGGGGTATAGTTGGGTTCCCTTTAAATGGCAACCAAAAGAGGGTCTACCATGTTGAGGTTGATAGACAGAAATCCAGCCATGCAAATCTATGTTTTTTGGTTTCCCTTCAAAGAAAGAGCCCCGTTTTTGCTTTTGTTTGGTGGTTTCCTCTTCTTTTTTGGTTTTCCCTTAAGAAAGAGCCCCGTGTCTCTCCCATCCGCCGAGGACATTCAGCTGATGTGGATGCTCACCGCTTTGCTGCAAGCGATCATTGTCACCGGCGGATGGTCCACCATCGGGGGCATGGCAGGCAGGTCTGTCTAAAGAGCCTGAAGCTCTGTGTGTGTGTGTGTGTGTGCGCTTCTTTTTTAGAGGATGCCAGCTGTTGGGTAGGTTTACAGGAAACCAACACAAGAAACTGCCATGTGCCCATTTTGTTTCACATAGCCATCAATCAGTTCTGTGAACATGAAATCTGTCAACCCCCTGCAGACGATCCAGATAAAAGTGCAGGTTTGGGTTGGGCCATCCCCAATAAACCCCTTGTCGTCGGGGACCTTCTTTCCAGCATTGGCAGGCAGTAGCGGCCCAGATCTGTCGCACACGAGCCTTCTGGGGAATCTGTGTTTCGCTTCCATCGTCCTTTGCGTCAACGTGGTGCTGATGTTCCGTCAGAACAGCTGGCAGGGCCCTCAGGGACTTTCTTCGTTGCTCTTTTTCGCGGCGGGGAAATCCGACAGGAAACCGATAGGAACCCGAAGCCCGTTTCGAGGCTTGGCCCAACTTTAGTGGTTTCCCCTTTCTGTTTCCTACTGATGGAGAATGTCCTGCACGGTTTCTTAGGTTGTGCGAAATGTTCCCAAAGGCCCAACAGTTGGGCCTCCGAACCGCAAGAACTTTTGGGCGCGTGTCGTTTGCAGGGATCCCCCGAAATGGCGCAACGGTGTTCCTTTTGGCTTCCCTTTAGCCCAACCCCAAGAAAGGGCTGCAAAAAAGAAAGCCGAAGAGCAAAACCACCTGGGTTGAGTGGCCTCGCGTTCGAGGCCAAAGAGCATCATCGCCTGCTACGTGGGCAATGGCATTGGTCTGGTGGTGACGATGATGATCTGTGTGCCGAGTTTATCTCAGGTCCTTACCGGCGGCAACTGGATTCGGGTCGGCGCCTGGGATGCGAACTCTTTGTTTGGCTTTGACGCTTTGGGCTCGGGTGACGTGCTGAAGATTGGGGGGGGGGGGGGGGCGCGATTTGTCTCTCGAGGTTTGACCATGCTCGTCATCCTAGCTCTGACCACAGCTGTGGGTGAGATCATCGTCTTTGCCACAGAGGTACTGTTTTCACAGGATCCGATCGCAGAGCCAAGAGACTTGACAAGAGAATTCACCAAGAGGGGATTCTAACGTTGGCCCCCAGAAAATAAAAAAAAACGTCCTGGTATATTGGGCTGTGTTCCAGTCCTCACTGAAAGGGCCACCCCCTATCAATCAACTAGTTATGAATTCGGGGTCCCCAATATAATATGCTGCTTGGCACACTCCAGTTCATTCGCAGTGTGTATTCTCAAATCTTCTCATGGTCTGTCTAAGGTACTCATTTGTAGTGAAACCTCTTCCCTGGAACACCCCCTCAAATGTTTGGTGGCCACAATTCTCCATGTGGGCGTGCATCCAAAACAAGGGACACCCAAATCAGTAGTCTTCCTTTTGGTTTCCCTTTGCAACCAACCCGAAAAGGGTACCCTGAAAAGAACGCAAAGTAAATACTGTCCACGAAAGGGCCCCAAGTTTGAAAACATAGGCAACGGACAGTGTGTTTTTGGTTGGAGAGTACTCCCGCCATACACCCCTGTTGGCCATTTTGGAGGGGGTTCCACTACTTGGTTCGATTGGTATAGCCTTTATACACCTTTAAAACCATCTTGGAGCCCAATCACAGCCAAAAAAAACACCAACGCCAAGCTAACACTTAAAAACAGCCGCAAAAGCCCAACACACCAAGAAACAGCAAAATAGCAAGCCCAAAAACGACCACGCAACTCATTTGGGTCTGTCTTTTGGGCTTAAGGGGCAGCCGAATGGAACACCGTTGCGCCATTTTCGGGGTCCTTTATTTTCTTGCTGGTGCGATAGGTCGGGAATGAGGGAATGAACCCAGGAATTGGTCCCCTTAAAGCAAACCACAAGGGATGGTCTATCGATAGGGAATGTGGGAACGAAGATTAGGGATTTTGCCTAAAAGGAAGCCACCAGTTGGATGCTTAATCTGGGTGATTCCATTTCTCATTCCCTGCTGAGCAAGTTTTAAGACGCGAAATTCAGCTCAGGGCCGGAAGATTTCGCTGGCAGCGTGGTCTCCAGCGCCTCGCAACCCCTGCGCCCGCTGCCCGAACCGCTGGAGCGGAAGCGCCGCATGTCCTTGGGCTACGCCTTCTCAGAGGAGCCTTGGGCGAAGTCACAAACGTAACCTGCAGCTCCCCGTTTGCCACTTGAAACCATGAAGAAGCCACCGTTGGTTGGTTTTGCAAGAGCGCATCGCTCGACATTTTTCAGCTGAATTCCGGTGGTTTGGTGGTGGTGTGTTTTGCTTTGGAGGTGGTATTGGAGGGTTTTAGGGGGTTTGGGCCCTCCAAACCCGAGTGTTGCGGAGGTTCTTGGAGGGCGGAGATGATCCATGAGATGATAATAGTCATAACAGCTGTGGAGGGTTTGGTTCGGTTTGGTGGTTTGGACCCATAGCTATCAGCTTCCCTCCAGGATATGATAGTTGTTTTTCCAAGAATACTGCACTTGGGGTTTTGAAGTGTAGAGGGTACATGGGAAACATTTGGAAATTATTTAGGTACATCAGCTTCCCTCTAATTGGTTTTGTTTGGTGGGTTGGAGGTCAGCTACAAGAACCAGACCTCACCCTCCCCCAATTGTCCAATGCCAGGGGTGGATTTTAGCTGGTAGACGACCGTTGTGTTTTTGGGGTAGCGCCCCCCTCGACCCGACCCCCCTCAACCCGACAACTAGCCTGCCTATACTTCTGCCAGAAACTTGAAAGGCCAAGATGTGCATGTTGCATGTGTCACAAGAAGTAGAACCCAATGTTGGCCGCACGTTCACTGACCAACATGAGTTGCCGACCAGTTGCCCAATTGGGCGGATCGGCAGCAAGTCCACACTGCATTGGCCATATCTAGTGCCAGGAAGCTCGTAGCGTCTACACGGAGACCAGCGCTCCAGATCGCAGTGTCCATCTTGCTCCACAAAGCGAAATGGGTCTCCACAAAGGAATGAGTAAAGTCGCTCTTGTGACTGCGCAATGTCAGAAGCGAATCGAAGTAAAGCGGGTCAGCGTTCATGGCCTGATGACGCCGGGCCGTCTCCGGTGGTCAGCAAGCCGGATGAGTAATATGGACGCAACCGCTTGGACATGCGCATTTTTGGCTTGGACCTGAGGTTGCAAGAGTCCCACTATCACATTGCTCGGCGCGAGCAAAAATGGCACCACTTCTATAGTGGCCCAAAGCGAATCAACCAAGGTCCCACAAATGTCTACTTCCTTTCGGCAAATGATACATAGTGAGAACAAAGATACGCCCATTCACCAACCTGAAGTCTCGCCCTGTGGAACGGTTCGCTTTTTTGGCACATACATATACATATATATATATATACATATATACATATATATATATATACATGTTTATACATACAAGGGACAGTTCCTTTGCCGGATCAACAGTCGTTTGCATTTAGCGCTTCCAACACGAGGCTTCCTTTTGCTTTGCGTTTAAACCAGCCTCAACCAGGGCGCCGCAGGAGTGCTGCTTGGAGCGGGAGCGAGACAGCTGGAGCTTCAAGAGCCGGGGTAGTTGCCTCGCAGGGCCAAAGTTGTCCTTGTCTCATATATCTCATATGCGCCTTGGCAGGGATGACTCTTTGTTCAGTATCTCGTTGGGCGTGGTTTGGTTCAAGGCTGGTGAAGTTTCTTTTTTTTGGGGGCAATTACTTTTTCAAGTGTTCTTCCCCACCCAGCAGGTGTGGGGTTGTTAGATTTTAAGTAACACCCAACCTCCACAGCCTCGCCCGCAAAGAGCCTGTGACAGACTCAGATGTGGAAGCCGGATCTGACAGACAGATGTGACAGAGACAGAGAGTCATTGCCCGCCACCGATGTCACACCTGCGACAGCCCAAAGAGACTCCGGGAAGGCCTCGCCAGTGGGTCCGCCGCAGCGTTGCCGCAACCACAGCCCGAGGCTAGCCGGCGTTGCCGCAGCCCGAAACATGAAGCCCCTGGTGGCTGCCAACAGCCCAAAGGCTGAGGCTCCCGCCAGTGGCCGGGCCAGGACAGCGCGCCGCCGAAGAGCTGGCTGGAGCCAAAAGCTCTTAGCCAGAATATCTCGAAAAGACTTAAGGTGCACAATGCAAGATTTGCTTTCATGTTGTCCACGCAGCCCTGTGAGCTTCCGCCGAAAGTGCTTTGTGCTCTGCTTGGTACCACAAAACTGTACAGAAGGGGTCGTCATGGGGGCTGAGTTTTTTCAGATTCCTGGGGGCTGAGTTTTTCAGATTCCTGGGGGCTGAGTTTTTTTCAGCCAACAAAACAAAAACAAAAGAACCCAAAAAACACAGCTCATCATTTGCATCTGCTAGTTCAGGGCCATGGGTCTCGTTTTTTGGGGTGGCTCACAAACACCAAAAAAGCCAACAAAAATAAAAAAAAACGCAGCCCATCATCTGAAGACAATACTTTGTTGATGCGTTCTTGATGCAAGCTTTCTTGATGCAAGACATGCAATAATATGATGAGATGTGTATCAACAGAACATAAGCCTCTTCCAAGGTATTCTGCAGGTAACTCCAGGTAACTGGAGATAATTTATCTCATCTCTCATTTCATCGTCTGCAGGTAACATCTCATCACAAGCAATTGCTTGTGGCTCGTGTCTACTTGAATCATTCTGAACAGCTTTACTGTTGCAAGAGCTCTTCAGCAACACGAATAGCTGCAGAGAATCTTATTCCAGAGCTCTTATTCCAAAGCTGAACAGCTTTATGCAGAGAATGTTTTTTGCATCTGCAGATATCGTTGCAGGTGCTCATCTTTGCATCTTGTGCTTCTTGAGCTCAAGCAACTAGATTGGAGCTGTGCTCCAATTGCTCCAGCTCATTATGCGATAAATATGTTTGTGTTAGCTGTTTTTTCTCAAGAGCATGGGCAGAGCCCATGCGTATATTGAAATATTGAACATCCAACTGTAAAAAGAGCTGAGTCTTGCAGCTGAAAGCTGCATAGATCAGCGATATCTTACGTTTCTTATGACTTCATACGCATGGCAAGCTGTGCTTGCCATACTTGCGTGTTTCAGAATTGCAACACAACAATAATATTTGTCCCAAACATACATCTGCTTGCAGATTGCTAAGCATACGTCTTCCAAAATCTTGCATACGTATGCAAATTGTGTTGAAGATTTGTGCCAAACATACGTCTTCCAAAAGTTAGCACCCTGAGGTTTATAAACTTGGCATGCGTAAGCGCGCCAATTATCCAAAAAAAAAGCTACAGACACACGTTTGCTAAATATATTTGTGTCCAGCAATGATATTTGTGCAAAATAGTTCTCAACAGGCTGTCTTCGGTGTAGCTTGAAGCTAGCTCATTTTCCAGGTCTGGATGCATCTGAGTCTTCATTGGATCGAAAATGAATCTGTGCTTGCCTGTCATCAGCCAAAAGAACCAAAAAAACGCACCCGAAAAAATCTAAGAAATCACGGGTCTTGATCCTATATTTTTGGTTTTTTAGTGTTTTAATGGAAAACTCAGCCCCCAAGAATCTGAAAAACTCTGCCCCCAGGAATCTGAAAAACTCAGCCCCCACGAATCTGAAAAAAACTCAGGCCCCGTGCCGACCCGCCCTCAAACTATACACCGCCGTCTATCTTCCAGATCGCTCAAAGAAACGTATTTTTTGGGGGTGGGTTCTTTACAACTTGTTTGGTGTGCTGAACCATTTTGCTTTGAGGCAAAACCCTCCTTCCATTGTTTAACGGGAAAGCTCAATTAAGCCACTCGATTTTGCAGTGTTTCCCTATTTCGAGACAGTCCAATGCGCAGCTCCCATCTTTTGTGATTCGCAGAGGAGGTGATGCAAAGAGAGCCCGGAAACCACTGTCATGTCAGAGAAATTTTTGGGCGGGCGTTTTCAGCCCTGTGCTGCCGCACGAGTTCTCGAACCACGCGTTTGGCCTTGCGAAAAGAGTTGTACGGCTGGTGGTTTTCCCAGTATTAGTTCTCTGTTCTCCAAATGTCAGGACTCCTTCTTTGAACATATGCCCAAGAGGGTGGGTCAACAACGGTGCCCCAACTGGAGGATTATGCCTGCCGTTTCTTTTGTGGTTTAATTTTGACCCATACTGTGGGTGGACAAAATCCTGCACCACTTTGAAGCCATGAACAAGCCACCGTTTGTTGGTATTTTGACAGAGAACTCACCAGAGGGTTCTTAAAGGGTGTGCAAAGGATTTGGTCCATCAGTGTCAAAAGGCCTTGTTTTGACCCACAGCTGTAGGTCGGAATCTTCCCGCGAGCCGCAGAACATTGAGCTGAGCAGCCTCCAAGCTGCTTAGTTCCGTGAAAACCGTTCCGTCTCACCACCCCATTATCTTAGGGCTTTCACCCGGCACCCCGGGGGAAATTGCCAACAGGGTAGTTCCAGATATCGAGGTTTGAAATAAGTTGTTTGTGTTCTTTCCCTACGGGCCGGTATTCGGGCGAAATGCAACCCTAAATGTGCAAACGCGGATGGTAAAAGGCTCCTGCCTGAAATGGACGGTTTGCTGTGCTGCCTGCTCTCGCGAGAAGTGACATTTCTCTCCGCAGAGGGTTTGTTTGGATCCAGATGCCTGGTGCGAAGGACGAGTTGGCAGCTCACACATAAGAGAATGTGTAGAACTTCAATAGCACACACGCACACATCCAACAAGAGCGCATCGTGGATGACATGCCCTGACCTACCCCAAAAGCCCGGCCTGGCTGAAAAAACAACCCCGCGCCTGGTCGTTATGTAAGGGGCCGTCCCTTAACCCCCAGAAGCCATGAAGACACACATCAGGTCACAAACCAACATTGCGGAATCGTAAATTTGCAGGGCCCAAACCGATACCCAAACCGATCCCCAACCGATACCCAACCATTTACCGCCGTGCCAAATCCAACCAGCTTGCCAACATCTACTTCGTGTACTACATATATACTGAAAAGTTGCGACTTCTGCGCTGGAGCTGCCAACATGTACTTCGTTTACCTACACTTACTTGCACTGAAAAGCTGCGACTTTCGTGCGTATACTACTGAATTTCCAGCTGGAGCTGCCAAAATGCACTTTGTGTACTTCACTTGTGCTGAAAAGTTGCACACTTTCCACCTGGAGCTGCCAATGCGAACTACACTTGAACTGAAAAGTTGCGACTTTCCAGCTCCAGCTGCCAACATGTTCTTTGTGCGCCACACTTGTACTCAACAGTTGCAACTTTCGAGCCGGAACTGGCAGTTTGTGCTTCGTATACTGCACTTTACGGAAAAGTCGCGACTTTCGAGCTAGAGCTGCCAAAGCACTGCAAACTGATGCAGAGCAAAAAATCCGATACTGACCGATACTAGGGCATAAGGATACAAGGGTGGTCCACGGGGCTGTTTTTTCAACCCTAACTGTCCTTGTTCTGGGTGTCAGGAGCAAACCGCACCTTTGCAAGTAGCGTCGGGTCTTTTGGTTATTCTTCAGGGACCTTTGGTTGCTGGCACCAAAGTACAATCCTGTGGCATCCCAGAAGTTGTTTTTTGTGGTTTTAAGGGCACCAACAGAACACCCAGCATTTTAGTGGAGAAAAGACACTCAGTCAAATCCAGTAACGCGGATGCAATGCTCGGCCACCCGCTCCAAGTTCCCGAGGCTGGAGTGTGGGGTACAAAGCCACCGTGGGATTTGTTTCTCCCTCAAGAATTTGGGCGTGAACAAACTGAGACTCTGAATTTCAGAAGAAATCAGATGGAAAACTTATGTCTTGGGCGGTTTGTTTTGTTGTCATCTCGGGCCAGGCGAGGTTCGAAGGTTCGAGGGGCCTTCAGGGCTCTGCCTTGAAACGGGAAAAAGCAGTGGCGCTGCAACCCCGAAACAGTTTTTGCTGTTCCAGGTATCTCTGCTTTTAGGTTAAACGCCTGTTGGTCCACTATAAAATCTCCTTTTGGTTGGGTCAAACATCGCTTTTTGGCCGACTTTGGAGGAACCGATTCCGATTTTGGAGGCTCGGAGCACCACCGGTTCAAATGTGTTGGCGTCCGGGAAGACATTTGTTAGAACCTATAGCCAAAGCCGTCAACCAGTCGTCCAGGAAGATCCAGATCTAGCTGCGCGGTTGAATTAGCCCTTGGGTGTCAAGGTTCATGTCCATCGAACCCGCCAGGCTGTCCACCAAGTTCTGCAATCAGCGCCTGCAGCGCTGCAAGCAGTCGGGGGCATAGCTGGAGGCTTTGCGCCAGCTGCGCCTGAAGGTGCCCTGGGAGAAACCCGCGGAGCCGATTTTCGAGCGTCCCAGATGAAATCCGGATCGCTGAAGCTGAGGAAGTTCCCTTGTTAAACAATTATCAAGCGATCATTTGTTTGGTCTGGTCGCCTTGCAAGGGAAACCGTGCAGTGCCTTTTCCCTCATCGGAGTGGAATGAAGCAAAAAGACCACAGCCTTGAAATTACTCGCGCATCACCAGCAGTCTCCGTCCTGGCAGAGGCATGCCAACAACTGAAGTAATTTCGGCACTTGTTTGTTTTGTTAGGGTTGGAACAGTGGAAGGGGGTCCTGGTTGCCCCAGCTGTTTGGGGGCGCCAAGTGGCTGAACATTTCGAGCCCGTTCTCAAAACGACTTTTGAGGGGAAGTTCAAGGACAACATATTCAGCATGCTACGCTCGCTGTCATTGGCTTGGAGGCAATAGTTAAGGCGGTTTGGTAACCGCAAGCAGGTGTCTACGCTGACATGGCCGTCCAAACGCCCATGTCATGGGTTAGCGGGCATGAAACCCGCAGCCGACACATGGCGCGTGCAACCGAGACAGAGTGGTTCTGACCAGTTGCATCGTCGCCAAGCAGCTGAATGTGGCTACCATTCTGACATGGGAGGACTTGCTGCTGGCCGAGGCTGAGGACCTTGTGCTGCCAAGGGCCGAGCAGCCACTCTCTCTGTATTGCATGGCAAGTCAGAACACGCATGCAAGCGCGTAAATATGTTCGAAGCTCGAGGCAGCTACAGAAAGCTACCAATAGCAACACCAAAGAAGCTGATGTAGGTAAACTGCGTGACCTGCCATAGCGCTACAACACAACTCCAAGCAAAGCAAGGAATAGGACAGGATAGCTAACTTTAGCTCCTTCTGTTCCAATGGCCAGAGTCATTTGCAATCAAGGCTGTCTCTGCATTGCGTGGCAAGTCAGAACACGCAACGTGTAATACACCGCCTGCCTTCTGCGCAAGGGCCAACTTTCGGGAGCCAATTCAAACGAAAAATTTGTTGGAAGCTCAAGGCAGCTACAGAAAGCTACCAATAGCAACACCAAAGAAGCTGATGTAGGTAAACTGCGTGACCTGCCATAGCTACAACACAACTCCAAGCAAAGCAAGGAATGGGACAGGATTGCTCGCTTTAGCTCCTTCTGTTCCAATGGCCAGAGTCATTTGCAATCAAGGCTGTCTCTGCATTGCGTGGCAAGTCAGAACATGCAAGCGTGAAAACACCGCCTGCCCTCTGCACAAGGGCCAACTTTCGGGACCAACCAATTCCAACGGGAAATCGGTTGGAAGCTAGAGGCAGCTACAGAAGGCTACCAATAGCAACACCAAAGCTGACGGTAAACTGCGTGACCTGCCATAGCTACGACACAACTGCAGTGTGATTTGGCCCTGCTGGTGTGCGTCGTGACCTGCGGAGGTTTTCCCCCGCTCGCTAGGGGTTGTCGCCCCACCAGTGCCTGAACCCGTGTCAGGTTGGCACTTGCACCTATCAGTACAACACAACTCCAAGCAAAGCAAAGTGGGCAGGATAGCCCACTTTAGCTCCTGTTTTTTTCCGAATGGTCAGGGGCATTTCATTCAAGGCTGTTACATCTTAGATATCAGAGTCCGAAGGTTCAAAGTGCCTCAAGGGTCGCTTGCTGGGGCAGATTATCTTGATAGCGTGCCAGCATGAAGGGGGCCGGAGCTCAAGTCTAAAGCCTTCTCGGACATGCTTGGGAACACCTGCTCAGCTCGCCGAACCGCGGGCCTGCTGCACTCGTTGAGGTGGAAGAGCGCGCGAGTTGAGGGACCTTGTGCACGTTTTGCCCAAGAGGATGTTTCCGCGCTAAGCAGATCGAGACCGCCCGGTGATCTCACCTCAGCCACGATGAAGGTGCGCAACTACTTTGGACCTTTCGTGGCTTTTAGAGAATGAGTGAAGAAGTTCATTCGCATCAGTGGCGTGCATCGCCATTGAGACACTTATGGCGCTTGCCGTTCCAGATCTTTGGGCCCTGCAAGCCAGACGGCAGAATGCCCGGCAGACGCATTTTGGGCTGCTGTTTCACTTTGCCTGGGCCCCAGCCCCCAGCTGGGGAGAGCCCGGAAAGCATGAAACCAAGCAAAGCAAGGAATAGGACAGGATAGCTAACTTTAGCTCCTTCTGTTCCAATGGCCAGAGTCATTTGCAATCAAGGCTGTCTCTGCATTGCGTGACAACTCAGAACACGCAGCGTTTAATACACCTCCTTCCTTCTTCGCAAGGGCCAACTTTCGGCAGCCAATTCAATCGAACAATTTTTTGGAAGCTCAAGGCAGCTACAGAAAGCTACCAATAGCAACACCAAAGAAGCTGATGTAGGTAAACTGCGTGACCTGTCATAGCTACAACACAACTCCAAGCAAAGCAAGAAATAAAACAGGACTTGCCTTACCTTACCTTACCTTACCTCACTTCAGCTCCTTTCACCTCTGTGCCAGTGGCAAGGGGCATTTTAGTCAAGGCTGTTACATCTTAGATATCAGAGTCCGAAGGTTGAAAGTGCCTCAAGGGTCGCTTGCTGGGGCGGATTATCTTGATAGCGTGCCAGCATGAAGGGGGCCGGAGCGCAAGTCTAAAGCCTTCTCGGACATGCTTGGGAATTCTTCCAAGGCCGAGTCTTTTGCTTGTTGCACGCACACCTGCTCAGCTCGCCGAACAGCGGGCCTGCGCTCGTTGAGGTGGAAGAGCGCGCGAGTTGAGCCCAAGAGGATGTTTCCGCGCTAAGCATGGCGAGCGCACACCCAGTGATGTCACCTCAGCCACGATGAAGGTGCGAAACAACTTTGGAGCTTTCGTGGCTTTTAAGCGAATGAGTGAACAAGTGAATCAGTGGCGTGCATCGCCAGTGAGACACTTAGGGCGCCTGCCGTTCCAGATCTTTGGGCCCTGCGAGCACATTATGACGAGAGAAGTTACCTGTAAATAAACGACTTGTAAGTAAGCATATGAAATAGCCGTTGGGATAGCGAATTACGCCGGGTAACATCAGAGCCGGAACAAAAACCCGTTGCATGTGTCATTGTAAGGCATGATCCCAGTTGTTTTGGACCTATCAAATCAGCTGCAGCAGGAGTGTGTTGCAGGAGCGGCCGCGCAAGTCAAACACGGGGCTGCGCAAGTGAGG